GGTCCAACAGGGATCCAATTAGAACATGTCTCGGATACACGGAGCAATCGAGTTCGATGTTCCGTGTATCCGATACACGGAGCAATCGAGTGCGATTACTCCGTGCATCAGATACACGGAGTAATCGCACTCGATTGCTCCGTGCATCGGATACACGGAATAATCGCACTCGATTACCCACCTAAGGGAACCTCCCAGAATGATTCCAGAGACAAAAAATTAGCCTGACGAAAAACCCAACCATACGTAGTTGTGAATACAGCAATTGTGGATCTATTCTTCGGTGGCGCCCCCGGGCCACGAAACGAGTGAGGGGTGTGCCGAAATGGGGGGGGGGGAACCGCATGCGAGCGCAGCCACTGGGGCGCTCGGTGGAGCTCCCTATGGAGCCACGAAACGTGTGAGGGGTGTGCCAGAATGGGGGGTGGAACCGCATGCGGGCGCAGCCACTGGGGCCTTCGGTGGAGCTCCCTATGGGGCCACGAAACGTGTGAGGGGTGTGCCAGAATGGGGGGTGGAACCGCATGCGGGCGCAGCCACTGGGGCCTTCGGTGGAGCTCCCTATGGGGCCACGAAACGTGTGAGGGGTGTGCCAGAATGGGGGGTGGAACCGCATGCGGGCGCAGCCACTGGGGCCTTCGGTGGAGCTCCCTATGGGGCCACGAAACGTGTGAGGGGTGTGCCAGAATGGGGGGTGGAACCGCATGCGGGCGCAGCCACTGGGGCCTTCGGTGGAGCTCCCTATGGGGCCACGAAACGTGTGAGGGGTGTGCCAGAATGGGGGGTGGAACCGCATGCGGGCGCAGCCACTGGGGCCTTCGGTGGAGCTCCCTATGGGGCCACGAAACGTGTGAGGGGTGTGCCAGAATGGGGGGTGGAACCGCATGCGGGCGCAGCCACTGGGGCCTTCGGTGGAGCTCCCTATGGGGCCACGAAACGTGTGAGGGGTGTGCCAGAATGGGGGGTGGAACCGCATGCGGGCGCAGCCACTGGGGCCTTCGGTGGAGCTCCCTATGGGGCCACGAAACGTGTGAGGGGTGTGCCAGAATGGGGGGTGGAACCGCATGCGGGCGCAGCCACTGGGGCCTTCGGTGGAGCTCCCTATGGGGCCACGAAACGTGTGAGGGGTGTGCCAGAATGGGGGGTGGAACCGCATGCGGGCGCAGCCACTGGGGCCTTCGGTGGAGCTCCCTATGGGGCCACGAAACGTGTGAGGGGTGTGCCAGAATGGGGGGTGGAACCGCATGCGGGCGCAGCCACTGGGGCCTTCGGTGGAGCTCCCTATGGGGCCACGAAACGTGTGAGGGGTGTGCCAGAATGGGGGGTGGAACCGCATGCGGGCGCAGCCACTGGGGCCTTCGGTGGAGCTCCCTATGGGGCCACGAAACGTGTGAGGGGTGTGCCAGAATGGGGGGTGGAACCGCATGCGGGCGCAGCCACTGGGGCCTTCGGTGGAGCTCCCTATGGGGCCACGAAACGTGTGAGGGGTGTGCCAGAATGGGGGGTGGAACCGCATGCGGGCGCAGCCACTGGGGCCTTCGGTGGAGCTCCCTATGGGGCCACGAAACGTGTGAGGGGTGTGCCAATGGGGGGTGGAACCGCATGCGGGCGCAGCCACTGGGGCCTTCGGTGGAGCTCCCTATGGGGCCACGAAGCGTGTGAAGGTCCGCATGCCACTGGGGCCTTCGGTGGAGGGGCCACGAAACGTGTGAGGGTGTGCCAGAATGGGGGGTGGAACCGCATGCGGGCGCAGCCACTGGGGCCTTCGGTGGAGCTCCCTATGGGGCCACGAAACGTGTGAGGGGTGTGCCAGAATGGGGGGTGGAACCGCATGCGGGCGCAGCCACTGGGGCCTTCGGTGGAGCTCCCTATGGGGCCACGAAACGTGTGAGGGGTGTGCCAGAATGGGGGGTGGAACCGCATGCGGGCGCAGCCACTGGGGCCTTCGGTGGAGCTCCCTATGGGGCCACGAAGCGTGTGAGGGGTGTGCCAGAATGGGGGGTGGAACCGCATGCGGGCGCAGCCACTGGGGCCTTCGGTGGAGCTCCCTATGGGGCCACGAAACGTGCGAGGGGTGTGCCAGAAGGGAGGGGGAGGAGGGAGGAGGAAGGAGAGGAGGAGGAAGGATGAGGAAGGAGGAAGGAGGAAGGAACGCGGGGACCGTCTCTTCAAAACGAGGACCCAACAACACACTTTGGTTGGGAAAAACGAGAGCACTTTGCAAGCGCCGGCGCCAAGGCGGGAACGCGGTCGCTTGGCCCCCGCGACGGCGGTCGCCGCGGGGGCGCGGGCGAGGCGAGAAGCAGCTCTGCGCGGCTGCGCGGCGCTGGTAGCGAGGCAAGCGCGAGGGCGCCGAGGGGCGTCGGGTGGCGGAGCCAACGATATGCACGCCACGCGGCAGCGGCGGCATCGGCAGCGCTGGCGGCGGCAATGCTCGCGACCGTAGCGTTGGCGTGGGTGCGATGCAATGGCAGTGGTGTTGTTTTCTTCCTCCTCTGCGGAGCCTCTCTAGTGCGGGCCTAAGCCGCGCCGCTGCTAAGGGCCAGCCAAGGCCCCCGCTCTCCAGGCGGGTCCGGGGGATTGCTCCTGGGGCCAGACTGCTCAGCAGTGCGCGCCTCGGCTGAGCCTCAGCAGTCTGCGCTGCCATCGCTTTCGCCAGGCAGAGGTAGCACGCCAGGTCGCCCAAACTGTACTCGGGCACGCCGGGGCGCCGGACCGAGCCGGCCATCTGTACCTCCGTGGCGTGGTCGAGCTCGTATTTCTTGACCCCCTTACCCATGTTGCTCAGGGCAGTCCAATCGCCCGGGTGGTCTTCGAAGCGGCTCCTGGTCGCAAGCGCCAGGGAGCGGAGCATGCGGGTGCTATTATATGATTTCAGACCCTCGGGGAAGAACCTGACGCCTGCGCGCTGTAAGAACTGGCGGTACGCGTCATAGAGGAAGGGCCGCTTCTGGAGCGCATTCGCAACTTCGGCGCAGGTCCTCGGCCACGCACCGTTCCGCACGTCGTCTAGCATCACCCTCCAATCCGCATCGGTGTTTCGATTCCAATTGGAGGGATTCCGTCCGGCGATGAGGGCGTTGACGCCAGAGCCAAGCTTCTGAATCAAGGCGCCCCGCAGAACTCGGAGAGGACGAAAGAAAGGGCCCGCGACCCCCCACGCCCAGTCGAGGGCGCGGGCGACGCCCTCGTTCGCGTGCCCCGCATTCATGTCAGGGCGCCCCAGCAGCAACGCGAGCACAAAGGATACCGCGTGCGCGTGGTACACCAGGTGCAGGAAGCCGGGGACGATGACGCACCGCGTTGTCGGCCATCCCTTCTGCTGCATCAATGCCCACGCTCCCGCCAGCACGCGAACGTCAGCACGTGACATCAGGCACCATATATGCTCACCCTGGCTGTCCGTCTGCTGCATATCTGGCGGGAGGCTGGAATGAAGGGCTGCGTGTGTGCCTGGTGCTGTTGGCAATTCCTGGTGAAGCATCCTGTTCGACAAATCTACAATGTAATCGTAGACTGGCTGTGCGAAGGCTGGGAGGTCCACGGAAGCGGCCAATGCCCTCTGCACAGCCTCAGGGGCTGGAGCTGGTACATACACCTCCACGTCACCGGCATTATCTGCCATCCAATCTTGCTCACACAATTCCCGCACAGGGGCCTGAGCCGCCACGAGCCGCGCTACCACTTCCTGTCTCGAACCCCGCTGGATGAGCCCGAGCATCTTGCACATAGCTTGCATCGCGTCCACGCTCAGCGCACGGAGGTCTGTCCACGCCTCCAGTGGCGGGATGTCCTCATCAGTCAGGATTTTACGGCGGCCCTTCTTCACCGCGGGGCCATCATCTGGAATCTCCACAACTGGGATCTCGCCCTGCCGTGGTGGCGCCGGGCCTGCGCCCGCGGGCGCAGGAGACGCCCGAAGGCCCAAGCGCCCCAAGGACATGGCTGCACGGGCGCAGCCTTGCAGCCTTGAGCCCACGAAGCCAAGGAGGGCAGGGGGGGGCTAGCAGCCGCGGCCTCCCGACACTCAGGGCCCTCAGCGCCACATGTCACGACCTTGTCTCCAATGCTGAGGAGGTTTTGGTTCCAATTCAAGACCCTCTGGGACTTCAGAGGACGCATGTCGCATTTTACGGCTGTCTGGGCCCCTGGGCGAACGCCTGTCACATGTTGCGGCCCCTTCGGCCGAGCAACGCATGCAATGCAAAGGACCACGAGCGGACAACAGAGGGAGGGAGGTAGGAGGCCCAAAGGAAAAACTTGGGAACTCAAGGCCGCGGCGGCACCAATTGCGATACCCGCCACGATTCCAATGGACAGCGGGGGGGGCCCGACGGAGCACGAGCCCGACGGAGCCCGACGGAGCCCGACGGGGGGGGGGCAAGGGCGGGAAGGATTAGAGGGGGGAGGGAGGGCGGAGGAGGAAGGCGGGAAGGGTTCGAGGAGGGGAGGGCGGATGAGGACGAGGAGAGAACTGACGAGGAAGGGGGGGGAGCACAAACGAAGGGGCGAACATATACGAAAAACGGTCATTGACGAGAGGCGCGCCCCCGAACAGATGAGAGGCGCCCCCGCGGTGGCCCAGCGGAGCCCGACGGGGCCCGACGGAACACGACGGATGGTTTCAAAATGGCCGCTGGTAGAAGCACCGAGCACGCCCCGGGGGGGCCCTCCCCGCCCCTCCACCTCCTCCAAACTTCCTCCGCGTGCTCCTCCTCTTTCGCTGCAGATCCTCGCCCTCGTGCTCCTCAACCCCGTCTCCTCCCTCCCCCACGCCCACCCCCCCATTCCGCCCCTCCCCCATACCATGCCTTTCCCCCGGGGCTCGCAGAGCGCAGCGACGACCAGCCCGACACACCCGGACAGACACCGCGGGCGGCCGGCGCTCTCCCGGAGCTCTGAGCACCTCCTGCGCGCACGAAGGCTATGCTGGTAATAGTGCGGACCACGACGTAATGATGGAGGTAAGGGCGACCGCCGGCCGCGGTCGGCGGAGGGTCCCGCGGGCCGCGCTCGACGCCGGCGCGCAGGTAGGTCTTGCGGGTGGCCACGCGCGACTGGCGGCGCGGGGGCGCCGGCCGCCGCACCCCCGCGCACGGGGGCCCCCCCGCGTCAAGGCCTCGAGGGTCTGGAAGAAGAGAAAGCCAAATGAAGAGAAACTCCTGGAGCTGCGCGCGGATTTCTTGGATCTGCGCTGGATCCCCCTCTCAGGCGCGCGGGGCGCGCCAGGGGCGGCGCCAGCGCGGGGGAGCCCAGCGCGGGTCCAGGAAATCCACGCGGAGCGCCAAACGTTTATGTACATGTGCTTTTGTTTCTTCTTCGAAGGACGGCGAAAGGGTGGGGCGTGGACTGCCCCCACCTGCTCCCTCCTGGGCGAGCGCTCCCGCCTGGGCTCCCTCCTGGGCGAGCGCTCCCGCCTGGGAAATATCATGGCCCCCGCCATGATATCTACACCCCCCCTAGTCATCACCCCCCACTTGGCCGCTCCCGAAAAAGGCGCCGCCTGCCGCGGGTCCACGGGCCACCCGCAGTGGGAGCACCTCGGCGGGCGGAGGCGGCGCCACGGGTGGACGAGCTGCCACCACCGGAGGAGCCAGACTAGGGCGGGTGGCCATGGGTGAGTGGGGCCCTGGGACACACAAAATTAATTCACGCAACTAACAGGATTCCCCGTCTGTTCCCGTATTTTCTGGGTTCTTGTCGTCCCCCCCCCCCACACTCCCCATAGTTTCCCATATTTTTCTGGGGAATCGACGATGAATTGCGTCCGTGTGTTTTTGTCCCCTCCGGAATGGGGGGCGACCCAAACGGGGGGGGAAGAGAAGGGGGCCCTGAGCGGGCCCTCCAGGGCCCCTTTTGGAGTCCGCTGGTGCCCCAGAGGGCCCCCCTTCTCCCCCCCCCCCCGCCCCCTTTGGGCCACCCCCCCTTACAGTCGGGGCGCTGACCTAAGGAACCCTAAATAAGGAACGAGGCCCCTTTTCTCCAGAAGTTTAACTTCGCTTCCCCCTCGAAAACATTCTGGGAAAACCTAAGGCAAGCTGTGAAACGATCAAGGAGCACGGAGCCCCTCCCCAACGAAAAGGGTTCCTTCTTCAAGACCCTTACTGTACCACCCGCCCGGCGGACGGTGAAACGCATCGCGCCAAAACCCGTTCGCAAGTTTCCGGCGCCTGGGGACCCCATGCTGGCCCAGGACCATCGCTAGAGGCCTCCTAGATGGAGGGCTCCTAGATGGGTCCGAGCAGATGGGGTCGAAACATCGCGCCGCATCGCCGATGCATTGCCGACGTATTGGCGATGCATCGGCGATGCATCCTCGACCTCGGCGATGTATCGGTGACGTCGGCGTAAGGAAACACGGGGCTCCACATCGAGCCGCCTCGTCGATGCAGCGGCGATTCGGCGCGATCCTGCGATCCCATCTGGGAAGTCTCAGAGAAAGCGTCAAGAGGTCCAGGGGCTGGCGACTCGAGAAAGTCAAACCGTCGGAAGTCGGGGTCGTCGGCGACATCTTCCTGGGGGAGGAGAAGGGAGGAGGGGACACGGGGTGGTCGCTGCAGGGGCCAAATATGGAAAGAAGGGAGGATGTAGGAGGGAGGAGGGCGACGAGCAAGGAGGCGAGACGATGAATGCGGATGAGAGGAGAAGAGCGAGGGCGGAGGGAAGAGGACTCCCCCCTTCATCCCCCCCACTGCTCACCATCGTTCCCCCCGTGATTCTTCTCACCCGCCCCATCACCTCGAAACTACTGCGGGAAAGGCCACGGAGTGGCCACAAGTGGGATCCATCGACACCGTGGTTTCGATTATTGCCGCACGGGGTCCTTGCAAGCAGCGATCAGTCGGCCAACCGCATGAATGTTCAAGCGTTAGCGGCATGCGTGGAAGAATGCGGCGCCAGTGGCCAGATGCCGCACTACGTTTCGATGACTTGCTCGTATTCGTCCATCTTGAATATGCCCTGGGTGCCTTTTTACGCATTGCGGGATTCCCAACATCTCAAGCCAAAGTGGCTGCGGCTGGAGAAAGGGAATATGTTGGGTGACACCCTGGACGCAAGGCGGAGGGGGGGCCAACGACGTCGCAAACGGGGCGTTGTTTCCAAATGCCTCCGCCCCCTCTTGCCCCCTCCCCCCCCCCCCCCATTCGCTGACGCGCTGCCCCTCATCCCGCTTGCCGCGGCGGTCGGACGCATCCCCCTGGGGTGGCGCCCCTGCAGCCCTCGAGGACAAACGCGACAGTAGCTCAGGGGGCTCGGCGGGGAGATGGGGCGTCGGACGGGGGCGCCAGCGTGGAAACGGAGAGGGGGAACGGACAGCATAAGGAACGTTGGATACGCATGCGCTCGATTCGACCTGAGCGTTGTCGCCGCCGCGTCTGGGCCCCTCGAAATACAGGTCTTCCACTGGGCACCCTCCCTGAGGGAAGCGCGAGAGGGCATTGATGAGCGAATGGCGGGGGGCACGATGAATGCGCGAAGCTTACTGCACAAACATTGCGGGATACCCCGCAGACGATCCACTGCCCGCCGCGCGGGCTAATCGGGAAGCCCAGGGGCCCCGAGGCGCCCGTGCTGCACTGCCCCGATCCGCCAACTAATCTCCTGGCCCTCCCCCTCCTCTCCTCGCCCCGTCTGTCGGCGCGGCCTAACTCGGAGCGGCGGCAACGTCGAAACGCGCGAGTCCTTCGGCGCCCTCCCCACCCACCCCTGGGCAGCCTGTCTCCCGAGGACGGAGAGCGCGCAGAGCCTCCATCAGAGGTGCCGCCCCGGAGGCCCAGGGGGCGCTCGTCCAAAGGGAGGGGGGGGGGGGGGGGCGGGGGGCGGAGGGGGCCGAACGACCCCGCTCTTGGCCACGTGGAGAGAATTGAGCCAGTCTCCCCCCCCCCCCCTTGGGCTGGATGCCCCCGCGAGGTTGCGAGGGCATCCGGCGCCTCTTGGAGGCGCGGCCACCAGCCGCCAAGGGCGCGTGCACCCTAGGGGGGAAGGTGGGCAAGCGAGTGATTCATCCCTGGGATACGTGATCGGGAGCTGGGCGATGGAGGCGATAATGAGAGGGGCAACTCCTACACGGACGATCACTCACAGGACGGAGAACGCGCGACGGCAGTCCAGCAGAAACAACCTCATCGCGCCGCGCAACCTTCTGATCGGAGAGAGAAGGTGAGGGGCGACGAGGGGGTTTAATATTTGGGCGCGTCCTCCTCCTCATACTGCTCCTCCTCGGCCTCCTCCTCCTCCTCGTCCTCCCCCCTCCTCATCCCCCACGTCGTCGTACTCGGTTTGATCGGTTTCCCCCCTCTCCTGGCCCCAGCCCCTCCGAGCGCTACTTCGCGCAGCCTCCGTCTCAGAGCGTTTGCCCGCATGGCCGCCGCCGTTGCAAAATATCATACACAATGCATTGCCACGCGTTATCTGCTTGTCTAGTTCAGTTGCCTTGCTGAGGGAATGGCCATCGATGCGCGGCAGAGCTTCCAAGAGGAACTGCGCACTTGCTGCGAAACACACCGCACTTGGATCGAACTGAAATACAGCTGTTGCTGCCACTGCTCGCGCTCCCCGTGCGAGCACCCCCAGCTGCAGTGCTGCAACTGGTCGGGGTAAACCTCGACCGCCCTGCACTCGGGGCTGCAGGCTCCCGCGAGCTTCAACGCTGACTCGGATCGGCCGAGTGCGGTGATATATTCAAAATCTGGCAGCGCTGCACATCGAAGCAAGAGCGCCTCGCCGCGCAGCTGCAACTAGGATCAACCCACGGTCTCCCCGAACATCACGCGCTCAAGGCTCTGCTCGAGGCCATCAATGACGAAGGGGGCATCGTCCTCCTCGACGGGAGTCGGGATTGGAGGAGCTGGCGGGTCGCCGTCATCTGCGGAATGGCTCGTTGCAGCCTGCCCATGTCCACTGGCGCCTGGCGATGCCATCGACGAAAGCGCAGCGCTCGGATACCCAATCCGCCTTGACTTGGGAGGGGGAGTCGCCGCGCCAGCCAGGTGCACATCGACGGAGTTCTTAACGGAGCGGCCGAAGTTACCCAAGTGCACGATGTCCACAGTGCTGGAAGTGTTCGGCGAAGCGATCTTTGATTTGGACGCTGAGTAGTTCATGACTATCTTCAAGTGCTCCAAGCCGAGGCAGATCCGCACTTGTACGTGAGCATGGCGTCGCTCGGAACGAGGTGGTACTTGTCGGTCGCCAGGTCTGTGACAGCGGGACGACCATTCTTCTCGGACAAAGCGCGCACCCCAAAATTTCCCGCCTCGGAGTTGGCAGGGAAAACCAAGTCCCGAGAACGCCTGCCGTTCTGGGCGGAGCAGTTCGTCAGATAAACTTTCATTGTTGGGATGTGACGATGGTTCCCAAGCCGGTGCATGCTGTCAGGCTCGCCCGTCGTGCGTTCGAAATGCTCGCGCGGCGCTTTCATCGTCTCCTCCTTCTTGCCTTTCAAGAGAGAAGTGGCAGCCTTACTGAACGAGGCTGGTTCGACGTGTTCGACAAGCTCCTTGATGAACGCATCGGAGCTGTTGTCGATTCTCGTGCACTTGTGGGCAACCCAATTCTTCGGGTCGGGATCGTGGATAGCTGGTCCTGGACGATACCGACTCTTTGGCACTCCCGCTGAAGAGGATGGAGTCCCACAGGCGTCGCCTCCGACGCCATCAAGGCCTTTGCCATCGGGGCTCGAGGTACGCTCAAGCGCCAGCTGCTCCTTGGAGGTCGATTTCTTACCCCTCAAGATCACCTGGTTGAAGTTGATGCCCTCGCTCTCGACGGCCCGTTTGATGATCTCCAGCAGCTCGGGCTTCTCTTCCATCACCTGGATGATCTTGGCGTTCGTCTCTTTGTTCTGGGATGCGTTGGCCCTCTCCCTGAGCTGTGCTGCCTGCTCGGCGGCAGGAAGGTTCCTGAAAGCAGCTCCTCCTGTGGTAATCTTGCCCTCTCCAGCCACCATGTCGCTGCAGCTGATGTGAATTGCAGAAGGAGGCCGCGTCTGAGGAGCCGCGGGCGACGCCGAAAGCAGGTTCGGATTTGAACAAAAATCGCACTGGGACAACGCCGAAGGCTGAAGCGATGCCGATCCAATGAAGGACCTTCGGCACTCTTAACTGGCTGTCTGGGGCCTTCCAGCTCCGGCACACGGGTACCTTTTCCGAATGCCACGGCGCATGTTCAAGATGGTCAGGGCGTGACCTTCGTGATGGGTTTCTGTCACATACTAGGCCTGAAGGGTGACCGATGGGCCCCACCAGGCCTACACCCTGCGAAATGCTTTAGAAATCATGGGTTAAGAAATTCATAGTCTCAGAATTTGAAATCAAACCCAGAATGTCTATTCAAATCTTAGGATCTACATTGAAATATTAAGAATAATCGAGACTCTGGCCGAAAACTTACGTTTTCTTAAGCATCGCCTAAGGTGTAATGTTCACTGTTCGCTTGCTCCTACGCGAGCTCGTTCGGAGCACGCCCGATACCTCCGAGGGACAGCCTCGGCGGGCTCTCCAGGGGGCCATAGCCATTCTGGGGGACCCCCAAGTTCTCTAACGACGTGGCCGCGCAGAAGAGGGTTCCAAGAAGGCTCCAACATGCGACCCCGCGAAAAATCAAGAGGTCTTCAAACTATCCAACGCCACCTGGGTCAATAATCTACCAAGGTCCGCGTGGGCCCACTGGAGACCCCTCAAAGTGCCTCACGCCCACGCCCGCATCCCCCCAGAGTTTCTTGGCAGCCCTCGCGGGGCTCAGAAGGACCCCGAGAAAGCTTCAAGAACGCTTCAGGAAAGGCCGAAACAGGGATTCAAACGAACTCAAACCATAAACCTCAATGATCAATCTGGCTCGGTTCTGCGCTGGCTCCGACTGGGTCTCCCCAAAAGCCCTCGCAAAACCTCCTAACCTCCTTGGGGTCTGCTTCGAGCTTTTCCTCTGGCTTTGCAAATAACCCACACGAGACCCGAATAAGACCCTAGAGGGGGGATTAGGTGGGCCCCGAAAAGGCCTTAAGGGGACCATGCACGTTGTGCTAGCGTGTTGTCTTATATATATAACATATATATACATATAAATATGGAGCTAGTTTAATGTATGCCTGTGCCTTCAGGGGAGCTTCGTGTTTATTTGCAGGGGGTGGCGAACCAGCCTTTTGGCGGCTCGAGAAGGTTGATCCAGTTTTGGTCCATGGAATTGGCTCCACCCCCGAATTGCGAGGATAGGGATCCTTGGGATGCGTCTAAGAAGAACGCCCCAATATTGAGCTTGAGGTCGCTGGTCAAACCACGCTGTGGGTCGTCACCGAGCGGACAAACAGCGACGCTCCTACTCCTCCTCGTAATAAGATGGAGCGGTTCTCATTATTCCTTCCTCCTCCTCGTCATCCTTCTCCTTCTCCTCCTCCCCCCTTATGTTTCTCCTGCTCGCCTCTCTCCGTATCCTCCCACACACTCTTCTCCTCCTATCCATCTCCTCCTCGACGCACGCAGCGATATTACAGGCGTCTGCGCGCAACTTCTCGCGCGCATACGTTATCGACGCCATAGAGAGACGCTGAGGGCGTAAGCGCCTCCATATGAGCCCGTCATAGGCACTACCCCCCCCCCTCCCGAGCCACCCCCCCTTGTCTTCTTGCGAAGATAGGGTCATGATCATCGTCATCATTGCCATCCTCATCCCCGTCATCTTCATCGTCATCGTCATAGATCGTCATGGTCGCCTTCGCCAGCACCATCACAACAATCATCAGTATAACAATTATCATCAGCATCGTGATCACCACAACCATCATCGTCATCGTACTTGTCAATATCATCATCCGCATCATCAACATCTTGTTGGTCGTCGTCGGCGTCGTCGTCGGCATAGTCTTCGTCATCATCATCAGCGTCATCGCCGTCTTCATCCCCGGTCCACTGCAGTCCCCTTACCCTCCTCCTCTTCCCGTTCTCCCTCTTCCCATCATCTCATATTAATCCTTTTTCCTCGTGGGCGTAAAGGGATCCCTGTTCCTTCACCTCGTCCTCCTCCTCCTCTTCTTCTTCCTCCTCCTTCTCCTCCTCCTCCATGTCTTCCCCGCCCTTCGGTGTGTCCCTCCTTGTGTTCCTTTACCTACTTCACCTCCTTCGTCCTCTCGAGCCCTCTTCATCCTGCGCTCCCCTTCCCTCCTCGTCCTCAGCATCCCTCCCCGAGCCAGGGAATCGGAGAACAAGATAATCTTACAAGAACAATGTCCCTCCTCCTTCTCCTCCTCCTCCTCCTCCTCCTCCTGCTCCTCCTCCTCCTCCTCCTCCTCTTCATCTCCCTCCTCCTCCTCCTCCTCCTCCTCTCCTCCTCCTCCTCCTCCTCCTCCTCCTCCTTCTGCTCCTCCTCCTCCTCCTCCTTGTCCTCCTCCTCCTCCACCTCTTCCTCCTCCTCCTCCTCCTCCTCCTCCTCCTCTTCCTCCTCCTCCTCCTCCTCCCCTCCTCTCTTTTCTCAACACACCCAATACACGGGTGCCTACTGGACCGCGTGCCGGGAGCCTTTTTGGGAAGCATTCTGGCAGTCTCCGGAGCCTCTCCGGGCCTTCCTTTGGAGTCCTTTGGGGCCTTTGTTGGCCCGTCTGAGGGCCCATTTCGGCCGTTCCCGGTCCCTCTTGGCTCGTCGTGGGGAGCTCAGCCAGCCTTCGGGCCCTCCTGGGGCCCTCTCCGACCGTGTAGGAATCCTTTGGTGGCCCCCACGTGCTTCTGGGGGCTCTCTTTTGGGCCGTCTTGTAGCTCTTCGGTGCCGCTTGAAGCTCCCTTCAGCCCATCTTGGAACTCTCTTTGGGGCCTGTGGGGCCGTCGGGGGCCCATTTTGGTAACCTCTTGGACCGTCGCGACCGCTGGTAGAACTGAAAAGCGAAGCTCCCAGAAATATACGCTTTTCCATGGGAAATGCTTGATGTGTGCCTTTGGAAGGCCTTCTCAGCGGCCTCTAGAACAGTCTTGGGGGGTCATTTTGGGCCTTTTGTGGCCGGTCTGGAAGCCCATTTCGGCTGTCCCAAGCCCCTCGTGGCATGTCATGGGGAGCCGAACCATCTTGGCGCCTTCATGGAGCACTCTCCCTCTGGGAGCCCAGTTCGGCCGTTCAAGGTCCCTCTTCGGCCGCCGTGGGGACCTCTGGGGGCCCTCTCCGACCATGCAGGGATCTTCTGGTGGCCCCCTCGGGGTTCCTGGGTACTCTCTTGGGCCGTGTTGGGGCCTCTTGTGCTGCTTGAAGTTCTCTTCAGGCCGTCTAGGGGCACTCTTGGGAGCCTCTTGGACCGTCTGGAGCTCATTTTGGGAGCCTCTGGGGCCGTCGCGGCCGCTGGTAGGACTGAAAAACACATATCCAAGAAAAATGCGTTTTCCCATCCGCTATGCTTGATTTTTGCCATTGGATGGCCTTCTCGGCGGCCTCTTGGACCGTCTTGAATGCTTTCGTGGCCGTCTAGGAGCAATATTGGGCTGTCTTCGAGCGCTCGTGGCCCGTCCAGAAGCCATCTCAGCGCGCTCTTCAGCCACCTTCCAAACGACCTGGGGCGCTTTGGACGCCTCTCGGGCCAGCCCGGGAGCCTCTGGGGGGGTCCGGGGCCCCTTGCGAACCCTCGTGGAGCTCCCCCGGCCCCCCATGCGAACCTGAGGCAACAGTTCTGGGCCCTCCCCCCGCCTACTCCGATATATATATATATATATATATAAACATATATATATATATATGGTTACATATATATATATATGTATGCCACCATACGCTGGGCCAGATCACGCGATGCTTCATATAAAGACAATGTATGCACAGACATGGCATGACAGGCTATGCAATGTAATGGTTTGCTATGGTATGCCATGCCATACACTGCTAAGAGTTAAACAAGTCAGACGATAATATGAACAACAACGATGTTATGAGATTTGCATGGTATCCGTTTACTGGTGCTTACAACAAAAAGTTGTTGCTCGATTCGTTTACTAGAACCACGCGCGCGCTTCGTGCGCACTTTGGTTCTAGCAAGGCCCAGCTATTACGTTCCTCGTATTCCTTACCCCCCCCCCCCTCCTCGGGTGCTGACCCGAAGGCACCAAACGCCAGCAACGGCGAATCGCAGCAGGCAGAGCACGCGGGATTTGGGAGTGTCAACGGCGACAAAGGCGTACGACGCCTGGTGTCGCATCCCAAAGAGGGTTGTGATGGGCCCGTGTCCGAATCGATGGTTTGTTTTCAGTGGACTCTCTGGGAGTATCGTGTAGGACGTGTACGTGAGGCTCCTGTAGCGCTCATAAGGGTCTCGAGGGAGGACTCCACCTCGGAGTCGATTTCCCCAGAAACCGCTGTGGGAACATCAATTACGGCTTAGGCGCGTGACCTCTGAGAGGGTTGTGAGGGCCTCTTGGAAGCCTCAGGAACCTTTGGCTCGCACTGCCACCGCGCCAGGATGGCGGCCAGAGGCGTATTGGGCATCTGGTTGGGTCTCTTGGCGCGATGCTTTGGGGCCTCTTGGTGGAGCAATCTTTCAAGCCTCTTGAGGATTCAAGGGCCCCTTTGGGGACATCTTCTGGGCCTCTTGGGGGCCTCTTGGGAAACCGCTCTGGGAACATCGCTCAGGGTGTAGACGCGTGGCCTCGGACATGGCTCTGGGGGCTTCTTGGGAAGTCTCAGGAACATGCGGCTCGTACTGGCACCGTGCCTCGGGACTCGGTTCTGGCCAGAAGCTTCTTGGATACCTGTTGAGGTCTCTTGGCATGCGTCTCGGGCGCCTCATGAACCAAATTTTGACGCCTCTTGGGGCCTTTTTGGGGGCTGCTTGGGGACATCTTGGGGCCTCCTTTGGGCCTCTTGGGGGCCTCTTGGGGCCCTGCTGGCGGTCCTGGGGTTCAACTAGGGCCGGAGGGCTCGACACCCGCGACCCAACAACGACCCAGCCGCGACCCAGCCGTGACCCAGTTGCGACCCACCCGCGACCCCCACATTGGCTTCACGAAAAATCGTTTCCTGCGGCGGGCTCGTTGTATAATATGTGGAACTCTGGCGCCTGCGGCGGGCCTCTCCCGAGCCTCGCAGGCTGCCGCCGTCCCACCGCCCCCTGGCTCCCATCCGCATCTGCGGGGTGCTGTGTGACAATGAAGGGGTCCCAGGACACAGAAACAAAAATCACACAGAAGGATTCCCCCATATTTTCTAGTATTTTCTGGGTGGTTGTCTTCCCCCCACTTCCCATGGTCTCCCATATCTTCCTGGGGAATCAACGATTAATTCTGTCTGTGTGTTCTTTCCCCTCCTGTAACGAAGAGAGGTGCCCCGACCTGCGCGCCTGGATGATGATGTTTTCGTTGCAAATACTATACCGAAGTACTGGGCAGTGACGTGTGCGAGCTCGGCGGGGACTTCGCGCGACTCCCGCCGTTGCACCCTCGCTGCGCTGAGCGGGTTCGAGTCGTGAGCCAACATGGCTCTCATCCGCATCTGCGGGGTGCTGTGTAACAAAAAAGAGCGTGCCCCGAGCTGCGCGCCTCTCGGGAGCGGCCAAGAGGGGGGTGTCCAAGAGAGGGGGGTGCAAACCATGACTGGCGGCATGTGCGCGGCCCAGCGGGATGGCCCGCGCCGTGATACCCCCCCCCTACCCTGACCTTCCAGAGAGCTATTTTTTAGCACGGGAGGCCTAAAAACCTAAACAACGAAACGAAACAGCCTAGAACCAAGACATAGAATAGCTCTGGGATAGGTTTTTTAGTCGCGTGCTATTTTTTCGCCCTCCTGGAAGGTCAGGGTAATCATCACCCCCCGCTTTTCCGCCCCCGAGCCTCCAATGCTCACAGGAGAGGGGCCGGCCACAGCGCATCGCCCTGGACGCCTCGCCTCGAGGCCACGCGAGGCCCCGAGGCACCACGCCTGCTGCCGCCGCGGGGCGCACGGGGGGTGCTCCCGCCGACGAGGCGCCGGGCCCAGAGCGGGCCGCGAGCTCTCCGCCGCCCGCTGAGATTGCCGGCCGGCCCATCTTGGGGGCGAGCGGCGGGCCTGGCGGAAGGGGGGTAGCAAAGGGGAGGTTTGAGAATCAGCTCTCGCAGCTGATTTTCCCGGCGCCTCCCGGCGCCAGGAGGCGCCCAATGTATTGAGGCATGGGCCCAGCGGCGGGGCAAAACCAGCTGCATGCAGCAGATTTCGTAACCCCCCTTGCCCAATCCCCCCTTTCGTTCGGCCAGAGAGCGAAGGGGGGGACATGACAGGTTTTGCTGTCTTCGGGGAAGGCTCCGCAAACTTCTCAGGAGGCGGGGGACTTCCGAGCCTTCCGAGAAGACCTTCTCCTTCTCACTTCCCCCCCTCGCTTGCCGCCGACTGTCTCAACCGTAGCCCGCGGGTGGGCCACGGACCATACTGGAGAACCGTCTACCACCGCAGCGAGAATGGCAGCCTGCCGTGCCACGATCTCTGGGGTATGAACGCGTGGAAAGGGGATTAGCGGCGATGCACAGTGACGAATGAGCCCATCGTTCGTCGCTGCCCGACGATGAGCTATCTGCGCGCAGTGCAGAGCCCTCGCCGGCCAGCTTCGCGAAGCCACCGAAGCCCTGCCACTCGGCCGCCGCTCGCCTAATACTCTTCTGCCCTACCTCTCGACATGTCTAAAGACCTCCGAGATGGGGTCCGACTTCGAGTAGACGGGTTGGAGGAACGCCCCACACGGGCGACCAGCGATGCATCGGCGCCATCGGCGTGGAACAACTCTGGCTCCAGATCGGGCCGCATCGTCGATGCGGAGTAATCCTCCGGCCATGTCTACTCAGACCCAATTCGGGAAGCCTACAAGCTCGGCCAGTGGCCGAATGACCACACCAGCCTGGCACGCGCAACGGCCGACCGCAGGCACGAGTCACCATTCCGGGCGCGCTCCAAGAACATGCACTGATCGCGAACGTTCCGGCTGACCACAAGCAGGCCGCCCGCCCCCGCGCTCCCAGCGGTGCCCATGGCGGCAGCCCCCGCAGACGCAAGAACACCGATGCAGCTTGGTGGAAAATGCAGGAACAGCTCGATCGAAACATGTGCCCACACACTGCATGCTGTTGAATAGCTAAGTGCCCCGCCCTATATACGGCATCTTGCCACGTACAAAATATACGCATGATTGCCATGCCCCTGGCAACGTGCACGCATGGGTCCTCCAATGTGGGCGGCACAACGAGCTCACTCTAAGAGCGGCGCTCGACGCACTTCGGCAGCGTGAGAGGCAGGGGCTCCGTGCCGTCCGGCGAACGCATGATCTGGACGTAGATCCTGGGGCTGGAGCGTAAGATGTTCAAGCGGAAAGGGGGTCGAGGAAAGAGGAGACCGGATAGTGTAGGAAGCGAGCACTTCGAGGAAGACGAGGACAAGGAATGAGGATTGTGAAAACGCAGGAGGAGGAGGAGGAAATGGACGAGGAGGAGGAAGAAGAAGACTACGGCCACCCAGCCTCAGAGACTCACCACCACCTCCTCCTCCTCCTGCTCCTCCTCCGCGTCCCCGTCCCGCTGCCCCCCCCTCCTCCACTTCCCAGACCGCTACCCATCATCGGGGGGAGAGAGGAAAGTGAGGATGGGGGGATGAAAAGGGGGCGAGGATGAGGACAGTCAGAAGCAAGGGGGTGCACAGACCGATGCCCGAGGGCGCTTTGCAGACGCCGCGCTTGGGTCGTCGCGGCCAGGCGGACAACTGCCAAGCGACGCCAGGGCGTCGCCGCGGGACGCCAGCGAGGATGGCATCTACCACCTCATCGCCGAGCGTTCCCGTCCCATCCGGCGAGGAAGGTCTTCACCACGACGATACCTCCAAGGACCAATTTCGGCACGGATATTGGTGGCAAAGACCATCAAATCCTCTTCCCTCCAACGTCGCCCAGACATTCGTCATCGTCGTCATCCTCCTGCCTCGAGCGTCGCCGCAAATCCTCCTTATTCTCCTCGGCCTCCAACCGTTCCACATCCCCCCACGAGTCCGCCTCGGAACAATGAGACGAGAGCTTGAGCCACAGCCGGCGCTACACCGCCTTTCTCCTCCCTCCAGCGTCGTATCGACTCCACACTCCACACCTCATCACCAACAGGTGCTCTTCTTCCTCCTCCTCCTCCCCCCCTGGCCATCGCTCGGACGTATATTCCCTGTGTTTTTGCCCACATCCTATGTGGGGTTCTTGTTTTCTCTGCACACCCCGCGCAGTCCTCCCACACCCCCTCTCTGTGTCTCTTCATCTCTCGCGCTCTCTCTCACTCTTTCTCTTTCTCTCTCTCTCTCTCTCTCTCCCACCACCACCATCATCATCACTCATCATCCCTCATCATCCCTCATCATCATAATCATTCATGTGAACATCATCATCGCTCGACCATTCACTCACCCACTCAGAATCATCATCATCACTCACTCACTCATCACTTCGTCCCACTCCATCTGTCATCATCATCAGCACTACCACCAGCACATGAAAGGAATTCGGTGCGACCGCCATCATCGGTCATCGATTATCACCATCATCCGATGATCATCATCACGTCACCGTCATCACCACGATCATCGGCCATCATCATCATCGTCACCATCATCATGATTGTATTACTCATTCATCATCATCATCATCACTCACTCACTCACTCACTCACTCACCCACTCACTCAATCACTCATTCACTTACTCATCACATTCACCATCATGGACTGAATATCAAGCGGGAGCCTCGTCTGTGAGTGGATTGCAAGGAAGTCTTAGGCGGGAGCCTCCTCCCTATGGGTCCCGCACTTCATGTTGGTAATCCGAGGCGGGTCATCCCAAACCTGTAAATGTCGTCACTTTTGGGTTCCCCAGGCCGGCATATGGAGGAAGTATCAGGCGGGAGCCTCGTCTGTGAGTAAATTGTGAGGAAGTCTCAGGCGGGAGCCCCCTCCCTATGGGTCCCGCACCTCATATTGGTAATCCGAGCGGGTCATCCCAAACCTGAAACTGTCGTCACTTTGGGGTTCCCCAGGCCTGAATATTAAGGAATCTCAAGCGGGAGCCTCGTCTGTGAGTGGATCGCGAGGAAGTCTCAGGCGGGAGCCCCCTCCCTATGGGGCCCGAACTTCACGTTGGTAATCCGAGGCCCTCCCCCCCCTCCCCTTCGAAAACCGGGGGGGGTCACTACCGGTTCGAACCCCTCCCCCCTCCCCCCCCCCTCCGGATCCGGAAAACCGGGGGGGTCACTACCGGTTCGAACCCCCCCCCCCCTTCGAAAACCGGAGGGGGGTCACTACCGGTTTGACCCCATCCCCCCCTCCCACGCACCGCCAGCGAACGACTCCCAGTCCCTACCACCGTCCGCATCACATCCCCCACTGTTGTTCCCAGCACCACTGTCCTCACCACCACTGTCCCCACTGTGTCCCCACCAGTGCCCCCACCACTGTCGCACTGTCCCCACTGTCCCCACCACTGTTCCCACCACGGTTCCACTCTCCCCACTGTCTCCACGGCCCCAACCACTGCCCGACTAACCCCACTGTCCCCACTGTCCCACTGACTCCGCCGCTGTCCCACTGAGCTGTCCCACTGTTCCCACCACTGTCCCCACTGTCCCCACCACTGTCCCCACTGTGCCTCTGTCCCATTGTCCCACCGCCGTCCTCGCCACCGCCTTCACCACTGTCCCCACCACCATTAAACCCTCCACTGTCCCACTGTTTCCACCTCATTCCCACTGTGCCCACACCACTGTCCCCACCACCGCCGTCCCCACCACTGTCCACTGTCCCCCCTGTTCCCACCATTGTCCCCACCACTGTTCCCACCACTACCGTCCCCACCACTGTCCCACTGTCCCCACCACTGTCCCGCTGTCCCCATCACCACTGTCCCCACCAACACCGTCCCCGCCACTGTCCGCACCCCCACTCGGTTTTCGAGGGGGGGGGTTCGAACCGGTAGTGACCCCGCCCCCCCTCATGATGAACCGGGGGGGGGGGGAGGGGCCCGAACCGGTAGCGACCCCCCCCCGTTTTCCGGAGAGGGGGGGGGAGGGGTCCGAACCAGTAGTGACCCCTTCTGGTTTTCGCCAGCAACGGTAGAACACGCTTTTTCTAACTTTTGGGTTCCCCAGGCTTGAACACGGAGGAAGTACCAAGCGGGAGACCCGTCCGCGAGTGAATTGCGAGGACGTCTCAGGCGGGAACCCCCTCCCTATGGGTCCCGCACCTCATATTGGTAATCCGAGCGGGTCATCCCAAACCTGTGTAACTGTTGTCACTTTTGGGATCCTCAGGCCTGAATGTGGAGGAAATGGAAGGCGGGAGCTTCGTTTGTGAGTGCCTGGCGACGAAATCGCAAGCGGGAGCCCTCTCCTTATGGGGCTCGAACTTCGCGTTGGTAATCCGAGGCGGGTCATCCGAAACGTGAAACAATCGTCACTTTTGGGCCCCTGTGGCGTGAATCTAGAGGAAATATTAAGCGGGAGCCCCGTCTCTGAGTGAGTTTTGAAGAAATCTCAGGCGGGGGGTCTCTCCCTATGGGGCCCGTACTTCGGGTTTTTTATCCGAGGCGGGTCATCCGAAACGTGTAACTGTCGCCACTTTGGGCATCCGGAGGGCTGTTTGATTTTTGGGGAGTTATCAGGCGGGAGCCTCGTCTGCGAGTGAATTCTGAAGAAGTTTCAGGCGGGAGCCCCTTTCCTTTGGGTCCCGCACTTCATGTTGGTAATCCGAGCGGGTCATCCGAAACGTGTAACGACGACGACGACGACGAGGCCGACGACGACGACGACGACGAGGGGCTGACGACGACGGCGACGACGACGAGACAGCGGCCGGGCGCAAGGGTAGCTCATTGTGTACAGGCCAGGGGTGGTAGCCCATTTTCGGCCGAATCGGGGGCAGGGGTAACCCCTTGTCTCTGGGCCGCCCGTGGTAACCCATCGTCGGCCGAATCGGGCGAAAGGGTAGCGCCTTGCGTCCGGGCTGGGGGTGGTAACCCATCCTCGGCCGAATCGGGGGCAGGGGTAACCCCGTGTCTCTGGGCTGGCGGTGGTAACCCATCCTCGGCCGAATCGGGGGCAGCCCTTGTCTCCGGGCTGGCGGTGGTGACCCATCCTCGGCCGAATCTGGGGCAGGGGAAACCCCTTGTCCCTGGTCTGGCGGTGGTAACCCATCGTCGGCTAAATCGGGCGCGCGGGGGAAGCCCTGTACGTTCGTGCCGGGGTTTGGTAACCCATCCTCAGCCGAATGGGGGGCAGGGGTAACCCCTTGTCTCCGGGATGGCGGTGCTAACCCATCGGCGACCGAACCGGGCGCAGGGGTAGCCCCGTGCGTTCGGGCTGTGGGTGGTAACCCATCCTCGGCCGAATCGGGGGCAGGGGTAACCCCTTGTCTCCGGGCTGGCGGTGGTGACCCATCGTCGGCCGAATCGCGGGCAGGGGTAACCCCGTGTCTCCGGGCTGGCGGTGGTAACCCATCCTCGGCCGAATCGGGGGCAGGGGTAACCCTTTGTCTCTGGGCTGGCGGTGGTAGCCCATCGTCGGCCGAATCTGGGGCAGGGGTAACCCCTTGTCTCCGGGCTGGCGGTGGTGACCCATCGTCGGCCGAATATTTGGAGTCCCGAAACGGTGCGGTGACTGACCGTGCGGTGACCTCGAAATCCCCCAGGACCTCACCGCACGGTCCGTCACCGCACGGTCTTGGGACCCCGGAGGCCCCTGTCGCCCGAGACGTCCTCGGAGAACGACCCGAACCCCAAAACCGTGCGGTGACCCCGAATCCCCACCGAGTCACCGCACGGTGTGGTCACCACCCAGTTTGGGGGCCCCCGAGAATAGGGCGCAAGGGGAACCCCTTGTCTCCGGGCCGGCGGTGGTAACCCATCGTCAGCCGAATCTTGCGCAGGGGGAAGCCCTTGCGTCCGGGGCGGGTGGTAAGCCACCCGCGCCCCAAACCAGTCCCTCCACAAAACATGCCTTGCGTTCTCGTGGGTAAGGGGCATCTGGCGCCAATTGTTTGGTGCTTTTCTTCGACCATGGGGGCCGCGTCCTGTTTTCGGCCCCGGGGGCCGCTTCTCTCTCTCGATTCTAATTGTCGGACGACCAGTGGTGGCTGCACCTCTACGTCATGCTCTTCCGCGCCACGTGCATGCGGAGCATGCTGATCCTGCGGCCGCCCCCGCGCGACCTCCTGGAGCGAGGGCCGCCAGCGTCCTTGCGTAAGGCGCTCGAGGAATTCGATGAGAGAGCGAAGACTTCCTCCTGCCGCTTCTCTATGTGCACCTCCCCTTCCCCCTGGTCG